ATTAATTTCTTTCTATTTTTAGTAGAGACGGGGCCTCGCTCTTGCCCAGGCTGGTTTCGATCTCCTGAGCTCAAACAATCCGCCCGCCTCAGCCTCCCAGAGAGCTAGGATTACAGGCGTGAGCCACCGTGCCCGGCCTGTCCTCTGCTTTAATGTGTTGGTTTTTTCTCCAAATAATTTCTTAGTCTAGTATTCTAGACAAACCTTGAACCCTTAAGATGTCTCAGAACTCTTTTCTTCTGTGTTTTTTCCCTAAGTGACTGGTTGGATTATACTCTAGGCAATTCTTATATCCTTGCAGAAAATACTTCCCTAAACCAAGAAATCCCTTTGAACTAGAATCAGTCTTTCTTCCTTTCATTTCTTTCCTTTCCTTTCCTTTCTTTTCCTTTCCTTTCCTTTCCTTTTTTTTCTTTTCTTTTTTCTCGCTGTATGGACATATATTCTTATTTCTCTTGGGAAAATATTTAGCAGTGGAATGGCTGAATCATATGATAGGTATACATTTAAATTTTGAAAATAATGCCCAACTTTTCCAAAGCAGTTGGACCATTTTACATGCTCATGAGCAATGTATGAGAGTTCCAATTCATCCACATGCTTGGTACGGTGATAGTTTTATAGTCAATTTTTTTTTATTTCAAAATATTATAAGGGTACAAATGTTTTTAGTTACATGTATCAATTTTGTTATGCTTGTGTCAGGGTGATAAGTGTGCCTATCACTCAGATAGTGTTCACTGTACCCATTATGTAGATTTTTGCCCATCCCCTCCCTCCCTTCCCTTTTGCTTTATTTCTGTTGAGTTTTACTTCCCTTTATACACATGTATGCTCATTAGTTCCAGTTTACTAGTCAGTACATGTGATGTTTCTTTTTCCATTCTCTAGATACTTCACTTAAGATAATGGTTTTCAGTTCCATCAAAATTGTTGTAAAAGTCATTAAGCCATCCTTGTTCATGGCTGAGTAGTATTCCATGGTATACATATACCACATTTTGTTAATCCACTCATGAATCAATGGGCATTTGGGTTGATTCCACATCTTTGCAATTGTGAATTGTGCTGTAATAAGCATTTGAGTGCAAGTTGTCTTTTTGATAAAATGACTTCTTTTCCTTTGGGTAAATACCCAGTGGCAGGATTGCTGGTTCAAATGGTAGGTATACTTTTAATTCTTTGAGGAATCTCTATACTGTTTTCCATAGAGGTTGTACTAATTTGCAGTCCCACCAATAGTATATAAGTGTTTCTTTCTCTCTGCATCCACACCAGCATCTGTTGTTTTTGGACTTTTTAATAGAAGCCATTCTAACTGGGATAAGGTGATAGCTCATTGTGGTTTTAATTTGCATTTCCCTGATGATTAGTGATGTTGAGCATTTTTTCACATGTTTACTGGCCATTTATCTGTCTTCTTTTGAAAAGCTTCTGTTCATGTCTTTTGTTTACTTTTCAGTGGGTTGTTTGGTTTTTTTCTTGCTGATTTGCTTGAGTTCTTTGTAGATTCTGGTTATTAGCCATTTGTCAGATGTGTAGCTTGTGAATATTTTCTCCGATTCTGTAGGTTGTCTATTTGCTCCATTGATTATTTCCTTAGCTGTGCAGAAGCTTTTTAATTGAATCATGTCCCATTTATTTATTTTTTTATTGCTGTGATTACCATTGGGGTCTTCTTCATAAATTCTGTGCCTAGGCCAATATCTAGAAGAGATTTCCAACATTTTTCTTCTAGAATTCTTATGCTTTCATGCCTTACATTTAAGTCTTTTATCCATCTTGAATTAATTTTTGTGAGTGGTGAGAGATGTGGATCCTGTTTCATTCTTCTACATGGGACTATTCAATTTTCCCAGCACCATTTATTGAATAGGGATTCTTTTCCCCAGTGTACATTGTTGTCTGCTTTGTCAAAAATCAGTTGGCTGTATGTGAATAGTTTTATGTCTGGGTTCTCTGTTCTGTTCCATTGGTCTATGTCTCTATTTTTGTGCCAATACCATGCTGTTATGATTATTATAGTCTTTCAGTATAGTTTGGAATCTGGTAATGTGATGTCTCCAGATTTGTTCTTTTTGTTAAGATTGCTTTGGCTAATCAGGCTCTTTTCTGAGCCTGAAGCATAGAATTATTTTTTCTAGCTCTGTGAAATATGACATTGGTATTTTGAGGGGGATTGCATTGAATCCATAAATCACTTTGGGTAGTATGGACATTTTAACAATGTTGATTCTACTGATCCATGAGCATGATCTGTTCTTCCACTTGTTTGTGTTGTCTGCAATTTCTTTCCTCAGTGTTTCATAGTTCTCTTTGTAGAGATCTTTCTCCTCCTTGGTTAAGTATATTCCTAGGTATTTTATTTTCTTTGTAGCTATTGTGAATGATATTGAGTCTTTGATTTGACTCTCAGGTTGACTGTTATTGGTGTATAGGAATGCTACTGATTTATGTCATTGATTTTGTAAATTGAGACTTTGCTGAATTTATTTATCAATTCCAGGAGGCTGTTAGTGGAGTCTTTGGGGTTTTCTAGATAAAAGTTCATATCGTCAGCAAAAAAGCAATAGTTTGACCTCTTCTTTCATGGTTTGGATACCCTTTATTTCTTTCTTTTGCCTCATTGCTCTGGCTAGGACTTCCAGCATTATGTTGAATAGAAGTGGTGACAGTGGGCACCTTGTCTTGTTCCAGTTCTTAGTGGGAATGCTTTCAACTTTTCCCCATTCAGTGTGATCTTGGCTGTGGGTTTATCATATATGGCTTTTATAATCTTGAGATATGTTCCTTCTATGCCTAATTTGTTGAGGGTTTTTATCGTGAAAGGCTGCTGAATTTTGTCGAATGCTTTTTCTGTATTTATTGAGATGATCATATGGTCTTTGTTTTGGGTTTTGTTCATGTGGTGAATCACATTTATTGATTTATGTATGTTGAACCATACTTGCATCCCTGGGATGAAGCCCACTTGGTCATGGTGGATTATTATTATTTTTTTTTGATGTGCTGTTGAATTCAGTTTGCTGGTATTTTATTAAGGTTTTTTAAGTCTATATTCGTAAGGGATAATGGTCTGTAGTTTTCTTTTTTTGTTGTGTCCTTTCCTGGCTTTGATATCAAGATGATACTGGCTTTGTAGGATGAGTTGGGGAGAAGTCCCTCCTTTTCAATGTTATGGAATAATTTTTGCAGCATGGGTACCAGCTCTTCTTTGTAGGTCTGGTAGAATTCAGCTGTGAATCCATCTGGTCTGGGGTTTTATTTTGTTGGAAGATTTTTTATTACTGTTTCAATCTGATTGCTTATTATTGGTCTGTTCAGAAGTTCTATTTCTTCCTAATTGAGTTTTGGGAGATTAGATGTTTCTAGGAATTTGTCCATTTCCTCTACATATTTGAGTTTATGTGCATAGAGATTTTCATATACTCACAGATAATGTATTTCTGTGGTATCAGTTGTAATATCTCCTTTTTCATTTGATTGAGCTTGTTTGGGTCCTTTCTCTTCTATTCCTGGTTAATCTAGCAAGAAGTCTATCAATTTTGTTTATCTTTGCAAAGAACTAACTTTTTGTTTCATTGATTCTTTGTATTGTTTTCTTGTTTTCCACTTCATTTAGTTCAGTTCTGACCTTATTTATTTCTTTTCTTCTACTGACTTTGGGTTTAGTTTACTCTTACTTTTCTATTTCTTTTAGATGCACTATTGCACTAATTTTTGATCTTTCTGTCTTTTTGATGTAGGCCTTTAAGGCTATGAATTTTCCCCTTAGGATTACTTTTGCTGAATGCCATAGATTTTGGTAGCTGGTGTCCACTTTATCATTCATTTCAAGGAATCTTTTGATTTCATGTTAATTTCAATATTGACCCAATAATCATTCAGCAGTAGATTGTTTAATTTCTATGACTTTGTGTAGAATTGAATGTTTCTCTTGGAGTTGATTTCTACTTTTATTCCACTTTGGTCAGAGAAAATACATGGTATGATTTCTGTTTTTTTGAATTTGTTATAACATGTTTTCTGACCTAGGATATGATCACTCTTGGAAAATGTTCCATGTGCTGATGAGAGGAGTGTATATTCTGTAGTTTTGGGGTAAAGTGTCCTGTAAATGTCTGTTAGGCCCATTTGTTCTAGAGTTCCACTTAAGCCGAGTGTTTCTTCACTTATTTTCTTCTTGGATAATATTTCCAGTTCTGTCAGTGGAGTGTTGAATTCTCCCGCAATTATGATGCTGCTGTTTATCTCTCTGCTAGGTCTCGTAGGGTTGGCTTTATGAATCTGGGTGCTCTTGTGTTGGGTGCATAAATATTTAGGATTGTTACATCTTCTTGTTGAATTGCTCTCTTTACCACTATATAATGACCATCTTTGTCTTTCTTTACTATTGCTGATTTGAAGTCAATTTGATCTGATGTGAGAATGACTATACCTGCTTTCTTTTGGTTTCCATTTGCATGAAATATTTTTTTCTATGCCTTCACCTTGAGTTAGTATGTATCCTTGTGGGTTAGATGTGTTTCCTGGAGACAGCAGATACTTGGGTTATATTTTTTCATCTATTCAGCCAGCCTGTGTCTCTTGAGTGGGGCATTTAGATAGTTCACATTGATTGATAGAATTGATATGTGGGATACTGTTCTGTTCATCCTGTTGGGTAGTACCTTATTGGTTTGTTTACCTTTTGTGCTATTGTTTTATATGAGCTCTGAGCTTCAGCTTTTGGATGGTTTTACACTGGTGGGTGTCTACTGTTCTGATCCATGTATAATGCAGTTCTGAGTATTTTCGGTAGGGCAGGTCTGGTTTTGACAAATTTCCTCAAGTGTTTGCTTGTCTGGAAAAGTATTTCTCCTTCATATACGAAACTTAGTTTTGTAGGATACAAAATTCTGGGCTGGCAGTTGTTCTGTTTAAGAAGATTGAAGTTGGGGCCCCAATCCCTTCTGGCTTGTAAGGTCTCAGTTGAGAAGTCTGCAGTTAGCCTCATGGGTTTTCCTTTGTAAGATACTTGATGTTTTCACCTCACGGCTCACAGCAGTTCCTCCGTCATGTTGACTTTGGCCAGTCTGATGACTGTGTGTCTTCATGATTGTGTCTTTGAAGTGAATCTCCCAGGTGTTCTTTGGGCTTCTTGTGCCTGGATGTCTAAATCTCTAGCAAGACCAGGGAAGTTTTCCTCAGTTATTCTCTCAAATAGGTTTTCCAACCCTTGTGCATTTTCTTCTTCACCCTCAGGGATGCCTATGATTCTTATATTTGACCATTTTACATAATCCTGTATTTCTTGTAGGCTTTGTTCATTCCTCTTAATTCTCTGTTCTTTATTTTTGACTGACTGACTTAATTTGAAAGAGTTGTCTTCAAGCTCTGAGATTCTTTCTTTGGCCTGGTCTAGTCTGTTCTTAAAACTTTCCACTGTGTTTTTTATTTCCTTAAATGAATTTTTCATTTTCAGAAGTTCTATTTGTTTTTTTTTTAATATGTTGATCTCTTTTGTGAATGTTTCATTCATTTCCTGAATTGTTTTTCTGGTTTCTTTGAGTTGATTTTCCATTTTCTCTTGGATTTCATTGAGCTTTCTTATAAACCATGTATGGAATTCTTTATCTGTCATTTCAGTATTTTCATTTTGGCTGATATTGATTGCTGGAGAGCTGGTGTTCCCTTTTTGGGATATCCTTTTGCTCTGATTTTTCATACTTCCAGAGTTCTTTCGCTGATTCCTTCTCATCTGGAGCTGCTGTCACTTCTTATTTTTGGATTTTCTTTTGTTTAGATGGGGCTCCCCCCACACTTGTAAAGGAGTAGCTGTAGCATATGTTGGGTAAGAACCTTTGGCTTTGCTTGTAGGTGCTTTGATGGTGGTCTAGGTTCTGGATGGATGCCTTGATATCTTTAGTGTGATGGTTTTCTCCTTCTAGTTGTTTGTAGGCTGTAATAGCTGAGAGCTATGTGTGTAGGCAGATTCTCTGTCTCTCTTTGATGAGAGAGGATGGAGGTCTTTGAGATACTTTCTCTTTCCCCAGCCCTGTGGTCTTCTTAACCAGAATCTTTCTTTTTTCAGAAACTTTCTACCTAACAGTTTCCTCAATGAGAGCTCCTCACTCCCAAGTTTTCTAGCTGACTCTTATGTCGCCAAGAAATGGACTCCTTACCAGCTGTCTTTGTGGCCTGTATGTATTACTTGGCAGTTCTCTTTTCCTATTCCTGAGTCTCTGTCAACATTGTCTCTAGCTTCATTTATTTCCTAACTCCCTATGGGCATATCTGAGAGATAGCCTCCTGTTCTCTCTTAGTGCAAATATCATATCTAACTTTTGCATTTACCTTATGATTATTCCTATCCCAGATGGACATGATCTACAAGAATTTAGGACTGGGTATTTTTTATCATGGGCTGTATCTGACAACACTTTTTAAAAATGAATTTTGAAATAATACCGTTGCTCCATAGAACTAGAGAAGCCTAAACAAAATGTCAAATGCACACCATGTTCCCATGCCTGTCTGTACTGGGAGCAAGAGGAGGCTGGGAGAAAATAATGAAGGAACCCAGCCCCATAATGCCCAGTGTCTTTCTCGGAATCACTTTTACCCCCTAACCATTCTCAAGGTCTTGTTTCTTTTTTGCAGTCTAGAGAGTGTTATAAGAAGATCTTAGAAATAAACCCGATGCTGCAGACACAGGTGAAAGGTGAGAATGTTCCTGCCAATGTCCTTCATTTGAATTTCATTTCCCTTTGTGCACCTGCCTCAGGGTACCTTCCGTACCTTCTCTGCCCTTGGCCACCAGGCAACAGCCTTGCCTTCCCTGCACAGCCTGATCCTCTGTGTTAACCTGCTCTGCTCCTCTGCCCTCTACTCTCCCCCTCAAATCTTTGCCTTCCTCCTTCTCTATGCTGTCCTCACTGAGAGCCTTCTAGACTGCCTTGTATCCCCAAGATGGTTTAAGATTCTGGTTATAGAATTTACACTGTTTCTAAAATTTTCCTTGCTAAAGAAGAGTTTGAATTATTTTAATGCTTTATGTTTCTCAATCTCCCATCCTCAAGAAAAAAGGAAAAAAAGGTTGCTTTTTGTGTGTTATTGTTGATTGTCAGGATTTTGTTTTGTTTTGTTTTTTTCTTATTGTTTTGCTAGATTACCTGTGTCAAGTAGATCTTAGGGAGAAAGCACACCTTCAAGAGAAGGAAGCCCATGAACTGCTGGATTCTGGAGAGAACACAGCTGTGACGACCAAGAATCTCCTGGAGACCCTTTCTAAGCCTGACCAGATCCCCCTGTTCTATGCCGGGGGAATCGAGATCCTGACTGAGATGATGAAGGACTGTAAGCCAGAGATGTGTGTGACCTCATGAGTATTGTCATTGTGAAGGGACAGGGCTTAGAGGTCTGCCTTTGTGAGGCAAAGAATCTCTCCCATCCTTTCACAAATGTTGATTGAAAATCTACTCTATCGTACGTGCATAATAAATGTACCCGCATCCCTGCTCTGTCTCTTTTCAGAGCATGCGTATGTTCAACACACATGCAGTGAGCAACACACACACCCAACACAGCTGGTACACATGGCACACACTTATTCCACATATACTTACATTACATACACCATACACATGCACACAGCATTCACTCACTTGACATGTACTTCTGCTACACACACACCACATACAACACACACAGCACACACTCGCCCCATAAATACTTGTGTCAGTATACAATATCCTACATACACTCTGCCCTCACACTCTCTTCACACACCCCACACCCATATATACCCCAAACATCCCACACTACACCACACGCCTTCCCCCCACTGTGGAAGAACGGAAGCCAGAATTTTGTAGGACAAACACCAAGGTTCACCCCAGTTACACTTAATGGCTGCTTAGGACGTGAAAATAGTTTCAGAGCAAACATCAGCTCTCCTCTACTAATGAGAGCCATCCTGTTCTTTTACCAGTTCTTATAACCATTGACTCTGGAATGGGCTTAAACAATTCTTGTACTCGGTGACACAGTGTTGTTTGTACATATAGATGGAGTCTCCCACTTCCCTTCAGTATGGAGAGTACATAAATATCCCCTTAAGAAGTTTCTTGGAGATTATAGGCTCTTCTCTAGAGCCTGGAAACAGCTTCAAAATGAATATTTAAGAACAGATGTATATGCTGTTTCTTCCTGGAGGTTAAGCAGCTCCTGGAGGCTCTCTAAAGATTACAAAATGATGAGTTGTGCAGATTTCCCACAGGGCCACACCAGCTCCGCTCTCCTTCTCTAAATAGTCCCTCTGCCTGTGGTGCCGAGTGGCTATTGACAATTATTTTTTCAGACTGTAAAGGTGTTTGTTTCTGCCATAGTGTTAATGTGGTGACCTTGACTTCCATATTAGCTTCCTCATTATCGGCTGGCTGTGTTGCAGCTAGACACCAGCCAGACAGTTCAGGAGTCCGATGTGGTTTTCTATGAATTTGTTTCAGGTACAGAGCAAACTTTATTTAGAACACACAATGGATTCAGTACCATCAGTGACAACGAGGTCATAAGAAGGTAGGATGTCTGTAAACTCAGCCCTGCTGTCAAAGTAAGGAAGGATAGCCATTTCTTGTGAAACCAGACACTAATGACATAGACAGAAATGTCTCTGAGTGTGACCACCCCTTGGCCAGCAGCAGGGGCTCCTCTGGCAGCACAAAGCTACTACATGAACACCTTTGAGCTCAGAGCCTCGGGTTGTTTGAGTGATGCCACAGTTATCAGCTGGAGAGAGAAGAACAGCAGCACCTCCCCCTGTTCCTCCAAGCACTTCACAGCAAAGAAATGCTCATTCTTGCTGGTTTCCCACCAGTTTTTGCAAGGTTGCCATTTGTTCTTTTCTTCTCTTGGAATTCGCTGGTCATATTAAGAGGTGAGATCAGCTGGGTCCTGGCTGACCCCGTTTATAGTTTCATCTGAAGCAAGACCCATATGGTAGGAGGTGATTTGCTCCTAAATATTTTAATTTTATTTTATATTTTAATTGTTCCGATACAGTGCATGCTTATTGGTCCCAGGGGGGCGGCCATCACCCATGGCACCTGGCTTACCGCCCACCCTCTGTGCAGCCCTGATCTCAGCCTGCATCCTCGACCTGGAACTCTCGGTTCAGTGACTGGCAGTCCATTGATCCTGCTGACTAGTGGCTCTGGATTATTAAATTACTTTCTCAAACCCTCATTTGGCAAGTCTGGGGTGAAATAATACAAAAAGAAAAGAAAATCAAGACCGATTTCCAGATCTGAGATTGTTCTCCCTGTCGATTCCAGGTGCTTTTCCACGGCAGGGAAAGATGCAGTTGAAGAGACCGTCTGCGTGTCTGTTCTCAAGCTCTGGCAGGCAGTGTGCTGTGGGAACGGTAAGCCTGGTAACCACTGTTAACCTCCATTAATGCACTGACGATGCGGGAGCTACACTGTCAAGTGGGACTGTCCTCCCCGCAGAGTCGATGTCTAGACCTCCACACACCGCCTCCCTCCAAAACAGCATGTGGATCAAAAGCAAGGTGGATAGTGAGGGGTGCGAGGTCACCAGCAGCATAATGAGTAGTCTCCTTTCTCCTCTGCCCTTGCTCTTTGCAGACTCATGACGTCTGCTCATGCACTGGCAATGGGCTGGACAGAGATTTTCCTCTCCTGTCTGCCTAAACATATTATTTCTTTTTGCTAACCGCAGTACCTATTTCAGCAGCCTGAGATTTGTGACCATCCCTGCCAGCATCTTCGGACTCTGACTAGTGCCTAATACGGAGACAGTAGAATGCTATGGGGATTTTATTTATGGTGTTAACACTTAGATTTTTAATACTTGCATCTTTTGGAGTTCATTAAGTTTTATACAATCTTTCTTAATCACTTTTTTAACGTCAATGTAAATAAAAATTTTAAGTATAATATTTCCCTCATTTTTAAAAAGTATATTTCATAGAAAAAGGTTTGACCTTGGACACAAAACACTGAAAATGGGAATAACGGTAGCTGTGTGTCCTTTTCGCAGGGCTGCTGCAGGGAGCCAGTGGTGGAACTTGTGAATGCAGTTCGTATGGTATAAGATGCTGAGTACGAGATAATGCCGTTTTTTTTTCTTGATTAAGTAGAGTGGAGGAATCAAGAATTTAAGAAATTAAGCTCTAGAAAACTAGGCAATCAGAGGGCATATTTCCTAAAGGGAATTATGCCCAGACTATTAAATAATATCCTCATCACCACGGTACCCTGCTACTCTGTACAAGATCCCCCACTGCTTTAGGCAGGGTTTTTGCAGACCTCCCTTCGGGAGGGTGAGAAAGGAAGGCTTGGTGATGGTATGTGTGTCCAGTGTGAATCTGACATAGCAACCCATTTACTTTGGTTTCTATGAATCTTGAAGTTAACTTTTTTTTTTTTGACATAAGAAAAATATTGTCAGACACAACCTGTGATGAAAATTCCATATTTCAGATCAATGAAATCTTGATATATCTAACTCAATAAATACAAAGCAGCTTTTAAAAAGGGCAAGGGAATACTTAAAAGTAAGGCCATGAAAATATGTCAGTGATATATTATTTAGTGGGGAAGAGAGGCCAATTACAGGGTGGAATGTATACTGTTTTTAACATTATTTATACAGGGACAAATCATAGCTCCTTTGGGAAATGGGCTTCCCTGGAGAGGGTACCAGAGAAGGGAACTTTCATTTTCAACTTTATAGTAGTTCTGTGTTTTTGAATTATTTACAACAAGCTACCCTTCCAGTATAAGAAAAAATATACAACTAAACAAATCAATGAAAACCTTTCCATTTCAGAAATCAGTAGATCCTATTTTACATGGGCAGGAGTAATCATAGGTGAAGTGTAGGACTGAGCTATAATGCTTGCAATGAAAATATGGTTTGATATGTGGGCTGCACGTCAAATCCTGTAGTCCTGTTACTGCAGCTCTTCTAAGACTCAAAGGCCCTGGTGTGTGTCTTCTACTTGGCAGCTGTGTGCTGTGTGCAAATGGGCAGTTAGCACAGAAGAGGAGAAGACCCAGGGTAATGATGGCCAGGTGACGGGCCTGTCCCTCAGAGATCCAGTTCACTCTACTCTGTTTCCTAGCTTAGCCTCATGCTGCAGTCTGTATCACTGCCTGCTGTCACACAAATTTGTGTACCTGGTCAGAAAAGGGGGGTAAATCCAATGCCACCACCCTGGAAATAGCTTATAGTCTAAGAAAGAGAGCATGCTTTTTTTTTTTTTTTTTTTTCATGCTCTCATGTGATGTCCTAGTTTCCTGGGAAGAACTCAAATGGTTACTGTGGCCATTATATGAAGATTGATAGTCCAAAGATATTCCACAATTAAGCTTCTTTTCCTTTGCTCACATTTCCAGATACCACACACCAAGGTGCTTTTTGATGATAGTAATGATATAGCTGACTTATGTATGCCAGTCCCTGTCTGGCACGATCATGTATTAGCTCATTTAATCCTCAGGATATCTCTATAGGTAGGTTCTCATCCTCATTTTACTGATGAGGAAAGTGAGGCACACAGGAGTTAATAATTGGCTAAGGTCACTACCCTGTTCATTCAGACCCAGCAGTCTGGTTCTAGAGTCCATGTTCTTGAACGTCATTATCCTGCCTCTCAAATGAGTGGGCAATTGTTAGGTTTCTCATTAGCTGTGGGAAAGACAGAACTGGATTAATTGCACAGCAAGACATGTAACTCCTGCGTTTTGCAGAGGAAAACCAGCGCATGCTTGTGATGCACCCCGATAGGGGCAGGCTGCTGCCCTCCCTCTTGGCCTCCGGAGTCCCGGCCGTCGAGCAGCAGAGCCTGGCCCTGCTGCTGCAGCTCGCCCAGACCGAGAACGGACGGAGCCTGATCCTCGGCCACCTTGACCTCACCCGGTAAGGCTCTTCCTTGTGGCATCTCAGGTGATCACTTGACAAGTTCAGGTTGCCTGTCTCCCCCTCATGTTGCTGATGTATGACTTAATGAAGAATCAATGACAGAAAGAGCCTTTGACAGGAGCAGTCCTTCATGAGACCTCCAGGACAACCCCCTGTCTGCACTTACTACCATGAACAGCTTCGTTTCCCCTGGGCACTGGTTCATTTCTGTCCCACAGCTATTGTACAGGTGCAGATGGCAGCCCTTCCATAGCCAGATCTGGAACCCACCCTTGCAAAGGTCACTTGCTTCTACCCTTTGGCCTTGGTCCTGGCTCTACCTGTTCCTTTTCTTCTTTCATGCCTGTTTGAGGTAATACTGACTTATTCTGCATGTCCTTAAACCCTTTCTGGAACAAGGTGGCGTGTGAACAAATAAAACATCTCCAATTCTGTTACATGTAGGTCTTTCTGAAGCTTAAGGCTGTAGGAATGGAATATGCCTCTCTCCTAAGTAGACATTCTAAAAAGATTACCGAACCACAGTGATTCTGCCCATTGCTTTACAGTTTATTAGTTTGTTTTTATTTATTTATTATTTTGTTTACTTCTTTTATTTATTTGTTTATTTTTATTAACTTTTTAGTTTATTTACCTTCAGATTATCAGTTCGAATGTGTGAAATTGCCACTTTCTAGATCAAAAAGGTTACATGTCAGCCCATTTCATGTGCTTCAACCTCATAGAAATAGAGGTAATTATTGTAGCTTTATGAAAGTTTCACGCATAATCTAAAAACCGAAGTTAGCCTTCTGATTTTTTTTTTACTATTTTCTCATTTTATCTCCCCTCATCCTGCGAGGTAGGCAAGGTAAGTCATTACCCCGTTTCACAGATGGGGCGGGAGAAACTGCAGCAAGGAACCAAGGAACTCTCACCCCGCCGGCTCCCAGGTACCGTTCCTGGGGCCTGGCTCTACTCTGTGTTGCCTAGAAAAGGAGCCATTCTGCCGCCCTGTCAGATCTGCCTTGGACCAAGCTGAGCCCCCTCGTCCCCGCCCCCATCCCATCTGGCGAGGGGGTTCACCGTGTGCTGAGGACAGGGTGGTCACTAAGCGTGGCTGTGGCTCTCCCCTGTCGGCCCAGTCACAGCCTCCGTGGCTCGCAGGAAAGACTTTGGCAGCCCCGTGAAGCACAGCCCGCACAGGCAGATGGGTTGTCAGTGGAGTTAAATTCTCCAAAAGCACATTTCGCATTTCAAATGGCCCTGCAATCATTCCCTCAATACCGTCATCATGGTTTTTTTTTAATTTGGTTTTTGTCTTTTTGAGGAAATGTAGCTATAGCTATCATCAGCTTTGTCCCCCAAGCTGTCTTTGAATTGCTCGAGTTTCAATTTGCATTTTCCCAGTGGCTTCGAGCGTGGTGTTTGCACCCCATCGTGCAGTCCTGCCTGCTCTCTGTGAACAGAGAGGCCTCCGCTGATTACACTGGTCTCGTCAGTGTCTGTCTCTCAGAGTCTCCGACTATCACGCAGGCACACATATCACATTCCTCCCAAAGTGTTTTTCCTCACAGGAGAGGTTGTAGGGATAAACGTGTGCTGTGAGGAACAAGCCAAGGGCCAGCGTCGCTTTGTGCAAAGTGCTGGGTTTGGGGGTTCAAGCAGTCCTGAGCTTAAATCCTTTGCGTGTCTCCTTCTGCTCATGGGACCCAGGAAAGGAACTTAGTGTTGATGGACCCCAGCATCCTGTCAGCAGTTGGCAACTTACGTTGACGCTGAAAGGGAGTGTTGCATCTGTGTCAGTTAAAATTTTTCCTGCTGCCCTGTATAGAATCCTTGAGTAAAATGAGATTGAGCAAAATAGAGCCTGTCTTGTTTTTCTCACGTAAGACTAAAAATAGCAACTGTTGGTGCAGTGGCTTCAAGACGTCAAGGTCAAAGTCTCTGTCCTTGCCTTGGCCTTTCTCTTATGGTCACACCTTCCCCCTTGCCGCAGCGCCAAGCCTCACATCCCTCTTTCAGGCAGGTTGATACCAGCTGGATCTGTCCCTTGTATAGAGAAAAGCTACTGCTTATTTCTCTGTGGACAGAATTGTGTCTGTCACCATTCTGGTGGGGAAAAAATGGCCCCAGCTTCTAGAGTCAGGCAGAATAGAAGGGAGGGTGGAATATCTGTGGACTTAGCCAGCAAACAGTGTCTGTCACGGTAAAAGAAAAAGGCCACTAGCATCATGTATCAAGTATTAAGTAACATGCCTGACACATGGTAGGGACTCTAATATTTTTATAATCATTTTCTCTCTCAGGGTATATTGTTCAGAGTCCTAAACTGAGCTGACAGTGCATTTATTGGTTATACGAGAGCATTTTCTGACTTGTAGTCCACAGGGACAGCTGCTTGTCAGCAGAGCAGAAAACCTGCCACCAAAAAAGAGGAGATGCATGGAAGGGGACACACTGTCCTCTTTAGGTGATGAGTCCAGTGAGGATGCACATTTTGTCACATGGTGAGGGAGCCTGGTTGCTCATGTCTCCTAGGACAAAACCAAGACGATCTTAAAGTCATCTTCTGTGCTATTCAGGTTCATTGACATTCATTTTTAAGACCAAAGAAAACTGATTTAAATTGGTGAAGGAGGAATCTGAACTAAATGTAAAACAAGTTGTTTCTGAAAGCAGGAACACTGGAATGTATCCCCGAGGAAGGGAGGGGTTTGCAGAAGCTTGGGGTAACCCAGGACTTTAGGCATAGTCTGGACCAGCCCCACCAGCCACGACCCCCTCCGTGGTATCCTAGTTCGGCCTGTGGGTGATGCCCCCCGGGGGACAATCCAGCATTTTCTTTATTTTTGTCTTCATTTGATTTGGGATGGGCACTAAAAGCCACTAATAGACTGGAGGCCTTTCCACAGCTAGTGAGAGGACATGGATCTCACCTCCCAAGGCAGCTCATCCCATTCCAGGGCAGATCTAACTGGTATAAATTGTCGCCTTACACTGAGCACAAACTGCCTGCCCCGTACCATTCCGGAGAAGTTCTGCCCCCCTACATCAAGGCGCAAGTCCAGACTATGAAAGGCATATGGAATGCACCTAATGCTCCCTCTTGTCAGTGCTTTAGGTATCTGAAGACACTGATTTTTTCCAGGTTGAGCATCCTGGTTCCCTTCGTCATTCCTGGGGTGATTTGGCTTCCAGACCACTCCTAAAACACACTGCTAAATAGACCCCGTACATAGGTGTAGGTGGCTAGAGTCAACATTCCCACATGCCCGATCCTACGGGCTCTTTTCTGTCTTTTCTTGCCTGCCCTGTGGCATCTGGTCTTGTTGATCACTACTCTTCTTGAAACTCCCTATCTGTAGCTGTCAGAGCATCATCCTTCCTGGCCCTCCTCCTACCTCCCTGGCCTTTCCTCCTTGGTTTCTTTCACAAGCCCCCCTGTGCTGTCCGCCTTCCAAGGCAGGGACCCCAGGATCCTACCCTTGGCCCTCTCCCCGTCCAGCATTAGTCAGGAGACAGAGAGTCGACGTCCCTCTCTCAAGCACTCGATGAAAACACCCTTCTGCCACTAGATATCTACATCTCAACATCCACAGGTATCATCAACTTAATAAATCAAAACATGGGTCTTCAAACCAGTCCCTCTGCTTGGATTTCCTGTCTTCATAGAGGGCATTTCCATCCGTGCCGTCGCTAAGCCAGAATCCTAAAAGTGCCCTGGGTCACTCCCTCCCCACAGCCATAAGAGAGTCTTGTGTCAGTTCTTTCTCCTAGCATCTCCCAGATTTGTTTCCTTCCAGTTCTCCTCCACCGTCTCTGATCGTTCCTCCTAGCTCTTCACGGGGGCTTCTTTTTGTACCTCTTACTCTGCCGCTGCCGCTGTTGGTCCCTCAACACTCTTTGGACAACCGTGGCTGTCCCCTGCTTAGACTCCTGCCTCCGGTACTGCCTGCCCCAGCGCAGCCTCCACCACACCACCAAAGCGGTTTTTCTAAAATGCACATCTGTCTTGTTATTTCCCTAATTAGAACACTGAAATGACTCTATTGCTTATAAGACTAGTTCTCCAACCACTGAGAAATCTCATGTCTGGGAATCACGTGGGGACTTTGGTAAAATGCAGCCTCCTGGAGCCCCCTCCCACTCAGAGTCAGAGAGAGGCTCAGGAACCGGCACCTCCCCCACCACTGAGCAAGTCACCTACCAACCAGAACATCCTCCCATCTCATCATTGTGCGCTGTCACCCCAGAACCTTCCACGTTGCCTGGTTCAGTCAGTGCTCGCGCCGTGTTGTTGATTGAATGAATGAGTCAGTGAATGGCCGACACTACACTTTCAGGGGATGCTGACATGTCCCTACTGAAGGCTTCTTTTCCTCCATCCCCCACACCTCCCGCCAGGCAGACTCTGTGGCCCACTTAACGTGTGTTCTGACATGTCACAGTTTATCTTCCTTGTTTGTTTTCACGTGTGCCACTGTAGGAGGCCAGGAGCTCAGGACCGAGCACAGTATTTAGCGCATTGTAGATGCTTAGTACAAGTCTGCCGAAATGAACAGATTACTTCCCTTCTCCTGGTGCCAGCAAGTACGTTAGGGCAGCCGGAGATTGCATTAGTTTTTGGGGTTTTTTTTTGGCATCTGCACCAGACTATTTGCTCATACTGTGTTTATAATTGTCTAAAAACCCTTAAATCTTTTCATACAAACCAGATTTCCCAATTCTGTTACTTACACAGAATTTCCAGCTCTAAGTGGAGGACTTGGAGTTTAACCCTATTAAATTTCATCTGATATATTCAGCAGCCTGTCAAAATCTTGTTAAATCTTTATTCCATCACCCACCTTATTAGGGGGCCCTCCCACTTTAGTCATCAGCAGATTAGTAAGCATGCCATTTAGATGTCATCTAAGTTAATGAACTTGACTGAGCCAGAGTCACACGGCAGAAGCACAGAGACTCCTTCCAGGCTGCGGCCTAGTAATCAATAAACTGGTTAAAAGCGTTCAAACTCCTGGGGATTCCCATTAAGTGGGGGAGCCAACCCTGTAGGAGAGTGTCTCTGGGGTGGGCAAGGAGCTGGGCTTCCTAGGAGGGCATGGCAAGGCCACCCTTTCCTGTTTCACCGGGATCCTGACTCCTTCCTGGCTTTGTGCAAGGTCGCCTTGCTGGGGAGTTGTCACCTGGAGGACAGCCCGCTCTGAGGTCGCTCTGGGTTTCTGCAGGTTATTGGAAGCCCTGGTGTCATTTCTTGATTTCTCGGATAAGAAGGCCAACACCGCCATGGCACTGCTCACAGACTTGGCTCTGGAAAAAAGGTAACTTTTTATTTCCAGAAATTGACATTTCTTCTTCAACCTTTGTTGAACTCTCTGATCTTTAAAGATGTGCAGTCTACAGAGAGGCCAGGCCAGCCAGGTCTCGACTGAGCACCACAAGATTCACTGAGTAGGATGGCAATGCCAGGGCACTGTGGCTGCCCGCCCCCATTGCAGCCACTGTGGGCAGGGGCTGACCCAGGCCTCAGTGGGTTTGGAAGTGGTAACATACTTAAAACAGGGCCTCTCGCAGTGAGCAAGCCTGCTATGTCTTGGGGAAGCTTCTCCTAATCAGTGGCCGGCACATAGTAACTGCCCAGCGAATCTGCATAGAATGAGCGTGAGTGTGCAAGCGAGTGAGAATGGACGTAAGACGCAGTCCCCTCTTGGGTACCAGTGACCTTGTGAGTAACTACCTCCTTCCACCCTATGGTTTTTTGTTTGTTTTATTTTGTTTTTTGCTTAGCTGTGGAACATGATAGTAACATTCTTAGTTTTCATAGTTCTTCGAGTTTTTTTTTTAAGGAGAGCTTTTTTTTTTTTTTAATTTCCTCACAAACTCTAGGGTGTCTTGCTTAGAAACGGTCATGCAACAAGAGAGCTACGTGGGCTCACAGGCCAGCCAGCTGGCACGGGCTGGGAACGTGGAGTAGCTGCTCTGGCGTGCAGAGATGTGCGTGTACCTGGGCCCTCCCGATGGCTGTGACGGGTAAACACACTTGCTCTGTGCTTGCCGTCTGTGCGGCATGCACACAGCATGTAGACTCAGAGCGAGAGGGCGCGGGGGCAGCTGCTAAGTCAGTTTGGCAGGAGCCTAGAGATTCTAGCAACTTCTGCTTAAGAGAGCTGCCCTCTGAAATCTGTTGTTTAACATCAAAGGCAATTCTCCAGACTTAGAAAAATTAAAGCCACATTACATACCCACTAACTTTCTTTTCATTTTTTTTTTGGTTCAGAATGGATTGCCCCATGCACTCTATATAATACGGGCTCAGAGTCTGTAGCTGTCTGCTATGACAGTGTATTCATGTTATAGGTTGTGCATGGTAGGAATAAACCCTTGCTGTTTTCTCAACAGATTCCAAGTCTGGTTCCAGGCCAGCCTTCCAGGTGTGCTCCCTGCACTCACAGGCGTGCTGGTGAGCAAACTCTCATTTTTATCCTCTGCGGCACACACTCTCAGGAGCATGAGCAGATCTGTTTAAACACAATTTATAATCCAGAACAACTGTTGTCTCTCAGGTTGATTAATCATTTATTCACAGCTGGAATTTACACAATTCTCAGTTATTAAAGCAACCGCAGTCGGGACAGGTGGAGGTGGCATATGGATGGGCTGGTTACAGGGCAGGAAGAGCTGGAGGTGGGCTGCATCTTAGGTGAAGGCAGAGTTTGTCAGTCTCCATCAGCCCCCTGCTGACACTAAGTCCTGTCGTCAGTGCATGTGCCACCCTGTCCGCTGAATGGAAGTCACCCCTGTCAGGAGGAAGAGTGCAGCAATTTGAGCTGACAAGGCAGAGAATAGTAAGGGGATCCTCCTTGGAGAATGTGTTGGGACTGGACCCCGTCCCTGGTGAGCCATAGAAGTTTCAGGGGCCCTTAGAGAGCGTAACCACACCCCGGTGTTTCATAGGCTCTGAGCGAGGCAGGGACCTGCCAGGTCCTCCCAGCTGGTTGGTGGGTCTAGTCCTCTGTGTGCCTCCATCCTGTTGCCAGTGTGACCCCACTGATGCCCCTGTGTGACATTAAGCTGTCTGGTTCCCAGGCCTTTGGGCGAGTGAGGGACACTGCTGGAGATCACTGTAGCGTCATTCACCTGCTCTCTGAGTCACATTCTCCATTCACTTTCAGAAGCGAGATCCCAAGGTAACCAGCTCCTCGGCTCTCTGCCAGTGTATTGCCATCATGGGAAACCTCAGCGCTGAGCCTGCCACCCGAGCACACATGTCAGCCTGTGAGGACTTTGGGGATGCCTGCCTGGGTCTCATGGTATGTTGGCTTTTCTAGTCAAAATTGGTCTTTTATCCTATTTGGGGGAATTGGCTCCTTCTTAATTATATGGCTGTCCCAAAATTCTGTTTCTGAGAGTGCTGGGGCCAGCTTATCCCTTCTGTAACCATAGATTTTACGGTCTGCTGGCCTTGAAGAACCCTCCAGATCAAGTCTCATTCACCCAGAGGAGATTTGAAGGATTTTCTGGTGGGTTGGCTTAATCACCCATTTCAGCAGCTCACTCTGCAGTTTAAACCCCGGACCAGGCCAAGCCGTAGTCCCATGGTAGAGGTACCTGAGATTCCTTCCAAGTCTCCTAGACTAACACTAACTCATGGAACTGGTCTCTGATCTTCCAGCATCACTTAGGTTCATGACATTTGCCAGTCAAGGAGTGTGGGTAACCCTAAGACCCTTGTCCAAGGGAAGAGAGGACTGTGAGAAGCAGCAGAGCAGAAAGGTCATTGGTTACCTTGTTGTGTTTCCCAAGGCCAGGTGTGAGGAGGATGTGGACCTGTTCAGAGAGGTCATCTACACCCTTCTGGGACTCCTGATGAACTTGTGTCTGCAGGCCCCCTTTTTCTCTGAGGTATGGCATTCTTGTCTCCCTGCCTGGAACCCTGGCAACCCAAACATGTTCTGTTGCATAGAACCGTTCCTCATGTTCACAAAAGAATAGAAGCATATGTCCACTGACAGTGGGCATGGGGAAGGCTGGAGGTCCCTTTGCTCTGAGGGAGTCACGAGTCACTCGCTCAGATATTCATTCAGGAATCTGACTGAGTGTCCAGGGCGTGCTGAGCAGAGTACTAGGTGCTGAGTTCACAAAGTCAAACAAAATGTGGTCCCTCTTATCAAGGTATCGCCCTGGAGTTACAGGAGACAGACACAGGAAGAAATAAGAGCAATAAAAGGTGTTGTGAGGGAAATCTGGACAGCGTGGTGGGGGTAAAGAGGAGGGAGTGGTCAGTTCTATTTGCGTGCTCAGAAGAAGCTCCATAGGGACTCAGATTGTCAGGAAATTAAAATCTTCTCCCCTCTCCCCTCACTGTAGGCCTGGGCTGTGGAGGTGAGCAGAAGGTGCATATCTCTACTAAACGGCCAGGATGGAGGAATCCTGACAGTAAGTTTCTCCTGGGAAATCCAGAAACAACTTCCATTGTTCTTGTTTTGTTTTGTTTTAACATCAGTGGGTCTTAACCTTTTTGAAGTTGCCACTTTGGAGAACCTGCTGGCTAAGTTACGACGTGATGTACTACTCAGAATAATGCCCACAAGCACAGGAACACCATATTTTGCCTACAGTTTCAAGGATTTAGTGACCTCCCCCAGTGCCCATCTGTGGACCTCCTAGAGGCCAGGGACCCAACTTAAGAATCCCTTTTCTGTATGGCCTGGAATTGAACCAGCTTAGACAACGTAATCTGTCTGATTTGTCCTATGTCAAGGCATCCTGTGAAAATTGGACAGGCCAAGTATCCAATTTATTTAGAATCCCTCTTTTCCATAGTCAAAAAAAGCCAGTGATCCTGGAGGTTGGTTATACATAATGTTTTTAGCCCCTTTTTTAAATATATGCTGGAGCGGCTTTCTTAATTCTGCTCTTGCCATTTGGATAAGAAAACTGAGAAAAGCCTGTACTTAGCACAGTGCATCAGAGGAATCTTAATATGATTCAAGAGGCTGTTTGCCATCATCCTAGGATGTGTTCTTCGCTCACATCAGCAATCACTCCCATATTTCTCCCTGTCAGGGCAGAGCCCTAACCTAGAGAAACAATCAGGGTCACATCTGGGGAACCGGTGCCTCGAAGATCGCAGATTGGGGACTGGTTCCAGTGTTTTAAAAAGTAGGTCCAACATACCCCATTTGGGGCTAGCACTCTCACAACTTCCCCAAAGTCAGTTCGGACATTACAGGGCAAAGGTTTTTAATCTGGACTCCATGGATGTGTTCCTGGAACCCTCTGCAATTGAGTATACGATTCTAAGTGTGTGTGTGTTTTCATGAGAGGGGCATCATAGCTTTCATCAAATCCTCAAAAGAGGTCCATGACGCCCAAAGTGGTAAGCAGCACTGTTTTTGGGTACTTGGGACTTTTTCTCCATGGTCCAGCCCTTAAAGCTAGGCCTGCACTGGTCCCTGGCTAAACCTTCAGGGGATCTTGTAGCCATATTTCTCCAGGGTTCTGTGTGTGTACACAGCTGGGTGCTTCTCAGCTTGCTGAACAGGGAAGCAGCTTCACCATGGGAATCTGGTCCTGGACAGGGCACGGTCTTCCTGGTCTTGGGTCTGAAAAGGGATCTATAGTGTCAGCTATAGCAAAATTCTAGAATCTCTGGGAGGATTAGAGAAACAAGATTAATAATATGATAATATACAAGTTTATACCTTCTCCCTCTGGAAACCTCATTAAAATGAGATTAAAGGCATTGGGAAAAAAAGTAGAGACTCACGCTGACACAGTGAACAGGCAAGAGGTCACCAATGGGTAGATAATTTTAACCAATTTCTAGAAGATGGAGAACAGCTGCAAGAGGTGTAATTAATGAGACAGGGTTGAAGAAACCTTCATGAGGGGGAACACAGCTGGGTGACAGCAGATTTGCCTACAGTACCCTGGAGAGGATCAAGACTTCGAAATACTAGGTACAACAGAGGGCAGTGGAATTGCGTTCAGCTAGCAGGCATCTATTCCATAGGCATAAAATCAGAACTTTTTTTTTCTCTAAAGAATTGAAAAACTGGAGAAAAGATTTTTCTTTCTAGTATTTAGGAGAGCCACCTCTCTACATGCCAGTCAACAACCTTCCCACAAATACAGCACTTCCAAACATGTTTTTATTTGCTTTTTTTCTTAAATGTGATTGAGCAGCTAAGGGTCACCAGACATTTCAGGAAAGCCATACACATAAATAGAAAAATGAAATTGACCCAAAAGAAATAGAGATGATATAGGAAATGAAAGAAAAAAAATAGTGACTATCATTTGTATCCTGAAAAAGATTCAAGATAATTATGTACATAAAATGGTACCAGCTTGCTATTTAAAACACAAAAAAGAATTAGGGCTGGGAAATAAAGTTAATGAAATCTCCCAGAAAGCAGAACAAAAAGAGATTCAGAAAGAGAAAGATGATCGAAAGGCAAAAACCACAGATCAATCCAGGACCTTGAGCATCTCCTAGTAAGTGTCCTGCTGCTATCAGAGCTCTGGGGAGAACCCCAGAAGAAGGCTTGCTTTCTCAGAGTTGGACTGGTTGATCCTATGTAAAGCTGAAATAATCTATTGGGGCCTTTGGGAGCCAAGAGGCAATGTTTACAGCCCTTTGACAGTTTTATTAAAGAGAACAGTGCTTTCTATTTATTACTCGGCCATTTTTTAAAAATCAGGATGCGTAATTTGCTTCCAGTACTAATGATTGCTTTTGCCTCACCAAACTCGTTGTTAACTTTTAAAGGTTGTCGGCATTTCTGAAAAGGACATTTAATCATCCTTTTTCTGCTTTACTCAGAGAGCTGCTGGTGTTCTGAGCCGGACCCTTTCTTCTTCTCTGAAAATCATCGAGGAGGCCCAGAGAGCAGGAGTGGTGAAGAAAATGATTAAATTCCTGAAGGTAAAATAACTTCCTTGGTGTTACACTTGGTTACAACCTCTTCATTTCCAGGAGTTTCCTATTTTGTGCAGGGAACAGAATTAAGGTCAGTTTTGGGTTTTTTGTTTTTTTTTTTTTAAATTAATGTGCCACTATTTCACCCCTGCTAGATTTTAAATTTTTTGGCTAGGCTGGGCGAGGTGGTTCACGCCTGTAATCCTAGCACTCTGGGAGGCCAAGGCGGGAGGATCATTTGAGCTCAGGAGTTCGAGACCACCCTGAGCAAGAGCGAGACCCCGTCTCTACTAAAAATAGAAAGAAATTGGCTGGACAACTAAAAATATATAGAAAAAATTAGCCGGGCATGATGGCACATGCCTGTAGTCCCAGCTACTCGGGAGGCTGAGGCAAAAGGATCGCTTGAGCCCAGGAGTTTGAGGTTGCTATGAGCTAGGCTGATGCCATGGCACTCTAGCCCAGGCAACAGAGCAAGACTCTGTCTCAAAAACAAATAAATAAATAAATAAATTTTTTGGCTAGAGAGTCTCTTCTGCCTGTCCACCCAAACAGTGTCCTGAACATCAACAAAAGATTGTTGAATAAATAAGTAAATTGTTCATTAGATACATCCATAATAACTGCTTCCCCCTCAAGCCTAACTTTAAAATCCATGGCCTCTGTCCTTGAAACAGATGGTTTGAGCGGCTTTCTACAAGGTTTCTCAGGCTCATTATTTTGCTCATGTTTTCCTACTCGTGATGCTTTATGCAGTTATCTGGAGAGTGTTGGCTGTAACCCCATTTACAAGATATATGGGCTGCAGAGTTCCCATGGGACCAAAGGATGCTGGGGTTTGCCCTCTGAAGTGAGTACAGTGGATCTAAGCGAGTCAGTACAACAGTTCACTAGACTCAACTGAAAGTGCGAGAGGAATTATTAGGCTGCCAGCTCTGGATCTACCTGTGATGTACATGCCCAGTGAGGTCCACTCACCCTTGCTAGTGCAGTGACACCACTGGTCTTACTCATAAAGGCCCAGGCTGAGTGGGGCAGGGAGCACGCTCTGGGGGCTGCTGCCGGGGCGGGGGTAATACTGAGGAGCAGCACAGCAGGTCTGAGTTTAGGCTGCCACTTGGATGACGACCGTCATTCACTCTGTACAAACTCTGCACACCCACCAAAGGCCGCTGATTGCATGCACACATGCGCAGCATGCATGCATATATGCACACATGCCTTTTAAAGACCCTGCACTGGGCAATGTTAAGGGTTAGGATTTGGCAGTTGTCACCTTTTAAGATGATCTGGGTTCCTGATGTTCTCCATGCAGGACTGTCAGCCCTAGCAAGTCAGCCCTGCTTCTCAAATGGTGACATGACACAGGAGGGCTTTTTCCTCCCCTTTTTGGAGGATCTGCCAGTCGTCAGCATCATTCTCTTCTCAGCCACTCACTCATAAAGCCTTCCAGAGGTAATTACTCAGGTGTATGTGACAGGCATACAATCCATGTCTGGGACGTGGGCTGTGTTAGAGAGGGCGTTAGTGACACTCCATCCCAGCAGGGACCAGGCCAGCTCACCAGGAAGCATGTGCCATTCTTGGTGGATTTCTCTTTGGACGTTTAGGAAGCCACTAGCATTGTCATAACTGCTCGCCATGGTTTCTGGTCACGAACAATCATAGTACTGATTTTCTGTTTCTAATTTCATTCTGAAATCTAGACAGGAGGCCACACTGCCTCACGTTACGCTATAAAGACACTAGCCATCTGCACTAATAGTCATCACGAAGCTCGGGAAGAAGTAATAAGACTGGATAAAAGTAAGTGACAATCTCCTTAAGCAAGCCCCCGTCCCAGGGGTTAATCCATCCTTGAAGCTGCAAAGGGAATCGTGGCCAAGGGGTGAGGAGGGACTTGGCAGTGATGCTGTTTAACCTCTCCCCAGACTTCAGCAGTGTTTACAGAACATGGCAGATTTCACCTCCAGATCTCAAAGCATTTAATTAGCCTTTCTGCCGCGCACAGGTACATGCCCGTGCTGGAGACCCAGCTGACAGGCAACTCAAAGATTACAGGGTCAAAGCTAGGAAACTCCTTCCTTTCACCAAGTTCAATGGAAATTGTTTCTAAGGCATTCTGTTTAAACCGACCTAGCACTGGTTTTCTTCCTTCACAGAGGGAGGAGAAAAAAAAAACAGAAACCACCTTCAGCCCTCAGCGAACAAGGGGAGTACCACAGTCTGAGCCTAGCTTTAGTCCGGTCACTTAAATCTGCTGTAGTGATTCGCAGCAGGGTTTGCGGCCGAGGCAGTCTGCTAACGTCCTTCTCACCACCCCCTCTGGAATACACAGAGGCGAATTAAGGGCCCTGCAGTGGAAGCAGGATCCTTTCTGCTGGATCCTGTTTCTTGCCCTGCAGGTACAGGATGCCAGCACGTTCTCCCCCGGGGGGTCTGTCAGGGGGACCTCTCGCCATGTTGGAGTGGAGAGGTTAAGAACGGGGACTTTTAAGAAGACAGACCCGTGTGGCACATAGTGTCCATTCACCTAACAACTGTGTTGTGCTGGGCACTGTTCCGGCCCCCTGAGATGCTTCAGAGACACAGCAAGGGGTCGAGGAGGTTCATAGCATTCAGCGAATGTTTGCTGAATGAGTGAGCAAACATGTCCTTCTACAGAGTTTCTGGGGAAGCTCTGCCGACACCTCTGAGCCCCTCGTGTCCTGTTGCCAGGCTCCTGTTGGGAGACTGGGAGGAACTGTTGCCGTTCTCTTCCTTCTCTGCAGAGCTTAGCATCTTGATGAAGCTGCTGCACTCAGAGGATGAGGTTCTGGTGGGCAACGCCGCCCTCTGCCTTGGTAACTGCATGGAGGTGCCCAACGTCGCGTCTTCCCTGCTGAAGACAGACCTCGTGCAGGTCTTGCTAAAGCTCTCAGGTGGCGATGCGAAGAATACGGCTGTGCAGCTGAACGCAGGCATCGCTCTAGGCAAGCTGTGCACGGCTGAGCCCAGGTATGCTGCGGCCACCGAGCCAGGCTGGCCGCTATGGGTCACATCTCAGAACGAGTGGCCGAGCCGAGGTGCTGTGTTTTGGCTGGGCCCGTGTGCTGTACAGAACTCTGTGGGTGACGCCCATGCCTCCTGTGCAGGCCCAGGCTGGGACCAGTAGCTGCTTCTCTGGAGGAGCCTTCCTGGAGGGAACCGGGGAGCTCTCGAGCTCCAGCCAAGGAGAGGGAACTGGCTTCTCTGACAGGGATTTGTTCCACGCACGAACTGCTGTTGTCGTCTGTCCTTCCCTGTTCTCCTCCGTTCCCCTGCATCCTTCCTCCCTTCTCTTTCTCCTCCTTCTTCCCCTCCCTCTCCCTCCATCTCCCCTTCTCTCTCCTTCCTCTCTCTTGTCTCTACTTTTCTAAAAACAGACCCCACTTAATTTTTGTTTTGCCTGGACCTAAACAAATGGAGGAATGTCCAGTGAGGGCTGCACGTTCGTGCCAGGGAGAACAGAGTGGAGAAGCAAAGTGAGCCCCCAGGGCACCAGGGCAGAGATCTTGCTCTAACTGCGTGTGCTTCTCTGCTGGCTCAGACTTCTGCTCTGCTCCTGTTCCGAGGCACTTAACCTCCTCTCCTGTGTGCTTCTGGCAGCTGCCCACCTGTGGCAGAGCGATGGGGCCCTGGCTTAGAAGAAGGGGTAGGCTTGGGGACGGGGTGAAAGATGTTCCCTCCCTTACACTACGCAGGCCTGTAACTCCTTCTCTGTAGCAGGAGACGGTTGGCCTAGACCATATCTAAGGTCCTTCCAAGTCTGTCTGACTGTTCAAATGGAAAGAATAGATAAAATCTTTCTTCCACAGAAAACAAGGCACATTAGCTAGGATGAGCTCAGAGTGGCCACCTGCTGGGGAGTTCCTGAGAGCAGGGTCCCATCTGAGCACCCTGAAACCACTGCCACCGCAGCGAGAGTGTTTTCAGTGTTCCGTGAGCTTCTCTGAGGGCCTCTCTTAACCTCGTGCTCTTTAGGGCCCCCAGTGCCACGACCACTTCCCCTTCCCACCCAGAGCGGCAGGACTGATGTTCCCAGCCAGCTATGTCTGAGAGGGGGCGGCTCTGGGCTCCAGAAGTCCGGACCATGGCGTTTATGTCCTGGATTGTGTGTTCTGGTTGTGACAGGTTTGCTGCTCAACTGAGAGAGCTTCATGGGATAGAAATTCTCAACTCTACGATGAAATACATCAATAATTCTTGAGAGACGTGGTGTCTGTGTGCATGTTTGCAAAAACACAACCGTACGCTATGGATTGTTCCTGTGCTAATAAAGGCCTTTTCAATATCCACTCCAGAATCAAGTCTTTATTTTCAGAGCGTTTGCCTGGTGGGTTTTCACTGGTGATGAGAGAGTGGGCATTCGGGTGATGCGTCTGGTGGGAACCGTGCCCTCGGCTTGCTCAGTGTCCATCGTCCCCTCCTCTGAATGTTCATTTCTGTTCTGTAGAAGCTGGAAACCAGCAAACAAAAAGCCACATTTCCCAAACCCTCTTGTAGCAATGGTTCTAGATGGGAACTGGTGGCCAATCTAATGCCACTTCCTGCCCCTTTTGCTATTTTCTGCTGGCCACGTGCTAGAAACATCAGATTCTTTGGCAACAGCACTGCAGCATCTGTTTTCCAGCTGCGGAGTGCCAAGGGAGAGTTGCAGCAGCACCGCTGGTGGCAGCTTCCTGGAGCCCAGCCTGCAGCTGTGGCGTGTGCTCTTGGATTCAGTGAGGGTGAGTGGTGGGCAGCGGCTCCCCTGTCAGGTGGCCTCTGTGCGGTCCTGGGAGTCGCTCCTGACACGCTCCTCCTGCCTATCTGATAGTGGTGGAAGTTCCCTGTGTTAGACTCTTCTCTGCTTCAAGTGCCACAGCAGGGGGTTCTATTTCCGCAGTGACTCCTTACTGACACAACCCACCGTACTCGCTCACCCATCTCCGGAGGCACTGCTTCCTCCCACTTGCCCCACGGCCACTCTAAACCAGGGTCACTTGTGGACTCTAAGTCCCTAAGTGAAAAGTCTAATAAGTGACACTACTCTTTGCCCTCTTGTTACAATAACGTGATCATTTTAGGGTAGGAGGCAGGATCTGCATGGTACGGTGAATGCCAAGAGTCCCAGACCGAAGATCCAAAGACTTTTGGTCCAACCCTGCTACGTGCCAACTGGGTGACTTTGGGCAAGTTGCTAAACCTCCGTGAGCTTTAGCGACTGCTTCTGGAGAAACTAAGATAATACCTGTCCAACCTCCCTGCTACATTGCTGAGAAGGTTAGATGAAGTTTCAGAGGTGAAGGCACTTTTGGAATTATAAAGCACCACACGAATATAAAGAGATTACCGGGCTCCATCTTGGCATTGAGGGCTTGGCTGTGATGTCAGTTGGGTTAAGTCTGAGGGATCTGGAGAAGGGTGAAGCTCATGTCCTTTAGGGAGTCAAAGCTGGCCATTTTCTGAAGCATGTAGGAAAGGAAACCCTCCTCCTCTAGGAAGTTTTTATTCACACCCAAAGAAATGGTTCTTCACAATGAGACAGCTGTTGGCTTAAATTAAGAATTTCGTTCCTGAAGTCAAGGTATATAAATGGCACTTTGTGGGGCTGGAATAAAATCAACATCCCTGAGCCCCTCACTCTGGGATCGGTGCGCCGTGTATGGCTGGAGTGAGCTCACTGGAGTACTCTGGGATGGCGTCTGGGTGGCAAGCAAGTGACAGGCCACAGTACAGAGACCAGGCCCTGCCCACTCAGTCTTGTCACACAAACAAACACCCTTCAAGAGGCTACTGAATTGCGAAGGGAGAATGACTTGATGCTAAACAGAGCACAGAGAAGAAAATTAGAGGCTGCAAAATGTGCTGTTTGCAGAGAGAATTCAGTGGAGCTTTAAAAATGGCAAGTCTGCCTGTGTACATAACCGACAGGCCTGTCTCCTTTGATTTGAAGTTTAGACCCCCCCACTTCTCCCACTCTGGATGCACTCCTCCTTCCTGGCTCTTGAAAATGGCTATTATAGGTGTAATCTCTTCCCCAAACAGTGGAGAATGTCAAATTATATTATTATCTTTGCTCCAAAGTGCCTGCCGAGAGCAGCAATCTTCTCTGCTTCGGAGGGGGTCTGCCGCACTTGAGGTGCTCCCCGCTTGCAGTTAGGAAGAGACATTTCACAGGCTAGTGTTCTCCGTCTCCAGTGTGGAGCCACCGCCCCCACCCCCCCAGTCTTGTAACCTCTGACACATGCTACCATGCAAGGCTTCCAGGCAGCGCAGAAAATACCAATGACATGTTTAAGAAGGACCTCATCTCCACATGCCAGGAGCCACTGGCGCCACCCTTGCCCCCCTCGGGGACAAGGTTTATTCTAGGAAAGCACAGACTGCTGATTCATCGGGCAAAGGAGCTGGGATTGTCCATCTGAAAGAGGATGTGGCTAAAATGGAACTCAATCACCATCCTGAAGCCACAGCAAAGGTGGTAGCATAGTCAACAGCTGTCCACTGCCTCCATAGATGATATGATGACAGCAGCTCTACTGGGCAGCAAGGTGGGGGTGAGGTTCAACGTCAGGAGGAAACGAGAAGAAGGGGCTGAGATGCTGCAACAGGTCAGGGTGCTACTGGAAGCACTTCTGTGAGGATCGGTTAGAACAAGAGCTTCTTGGTTTGGAAAGTTGGATGAAGGATAGTACTACCATACTACCAGGAATGTTCTGAGGCCAGAAGACATTTAATCCCATGTGACCTTTTTTTATTTTCTTTTTTTTAGCAAAAGGTCTCGTTTTCTAAATACCTTGAAAATAAGGGCTCTCCACAGGGCCCAGAAAGAGGAGCGAATAATCACAGGTAAAGAAAGCCCATTTAGAATTGACCCCCTTTCCCACTGTGAGAGGCTGTTGGTCCTCACAGGCTGGTGCCCTGCAGACCTGCAGAGCGGAAGGCTAATGTGTTGTGCATTTGCCCTGCGCTAGGCACTGTGTAAGTGCTTAAGATCCTCTCCGGGTAAGTCTCACAAAAACCCTATGAGGCAGGCAGTATTTTTACTTTCTGGGTAAAGGAGCTAAGATACAAAGATAATAGGTACTTCCTCACCCAGGACCACATAGACAGTAAGCAGAGGAGCCAGAATTAGACCTTGGCTGTGTTCTTAACTCCTTCTGTGCGTAAAACATTCCTCCGCTTACTAAATGTGGTCTGTGGAAAAGTCATCTAATTCCTCTGAGCCTCAGTTTCCTGTCTGTAAAATGGGAATGCCAACCCCTATCTCACATCCTGTGGTTTGGATATAACATACATGAAGTTTCTCGCATAGGTAACTGGCAAATGGAAGGCATTGACTTAATAGTGGTGACTATTAATTTTAAACCAGAAATTACCATCAGTTCATTATTTGCACCCTCCTGCCCTCCCACCTTTGTGATCCTCCTAGGTCTTCTGTCTCTCAGAGGGCAAGCAGGTATTTGGCTGTGCTTACTTTCCCTCTCTCCTGTGAGGGTGGCAACCATCAGGATCCCCCAAGCCCCCGCTGCTGGCCTGCAGCCTGCCTTCTTAATTACCGCCATGGCCGCAGGGCCTGAGGGTGCCAGTCCTGGGTGGGATGGGGTGCTGGGCACACTCAGGGCTCAGGGATGGGATGACAGCGCTCCTTGCCAGGAGTCAGCTGACTGGGCCCTGTCAGGGCCTGGTGCTGGGCTGCATTTAGATCAGCAGGACCCAGGGTGAAGTGAAAAGGGCCAGGATCAATGCCCAGATCCCCTCCCCAAACAGATGCGCCTCTGTTACGTGCTGTTTGTCCTCAGTTTAAAATCAAGAAAACCTGTTGATTGCAACGACTCACTCCAACCACATGTTCACCAGGTTATCATTAGTTCTTTCCTCCTCAAGCCCCAGAGCTGTGTGCCCTACCCTCCCAGATCACCTGGAAAGAGGGTGGCTGAGCCCAGTGGGACATCAGGCTAACCCGTCACCTCCTCCTCTGGCAGCTTTCAGCCCTAGGCAGCTGCATGCCAGCCAAGCACTGAGCTTCTGTGACCTGAAGCCGCTGGATGACTTATTTCTTTTTAACAAGACCTTTAATTTAATTTTAGTTTCAAAAAAGCAAAATGAAGAATGAGTGATCCCTGGAGATATTCTGCCCCTTGGTCTCATTTTGCCCTGGGGCTTGATCAGGCTTCTCTGTTTGCTCCAGGGCTCAGCCCCGGCAGCCTTAGGGGGAGCCGCTGGGTACCCGCAGGACAGAGGGAGCAGCGGGCTGTCGGTCAGCTCCGCCAGCCACGCCCAGCCTCAGATCTCCCCAGTTCTGGAGGTGGCTCCTGTCTGCCGGGTGTGCCAGTTCTGCTCAGCCTGAGCACCTCCCCGCTGTCACATGCCTGTCTCCAACTTCACATTTGTGCTTCTAATCTTCAGCAGCTCCCCCGAGTCACAAGCACACACACGCCCATGCAGAGTTCACCTCTCTGCCGCTAGGAGATGAGTTTTCACGTAAAAATGGGTGTGTTAACGCACAATGGGGATTTAGGATAGAAATAAAAGGCATGACAAGATAGTGAGAATTATTGGAACAGGTGGCTAGAGAAAAGGCTCCTAGAATGTCCAAGCTGAGAATTATTCAGGGATCCTCTAATTCAGTACAGACCCTCTGTATCCTAGGGAGATTAGTTCCAGGACCCCCTCGGATACCAAACTCCAGCAAGGCACACGTCCTATCCATAAAATGCATATTATTTGTATATAGCCAATGCACATCCTCCTATATAGGTTATTAATAAATCATTTCTAGATTATTTATAATATCTACTATAATATAAACGCTATGTAAATAGTTGTTATACTTTATTTTTAGAATTTGTATCATTTTTTTATTGTTGTATTGGTATTTGTATTTCTTGTTCAAATATTTTTCAATGCTCAAGTGGTCGAATCCATGAATTTGAAACCCACAATACAGAGGGTGGAATGTATCTGCTTTATTGGAATTCATCTGATTTCATTTGCTAAATACAATTGACTGCTCCAAAATGTCTAGCCCCCACCCCCTCATTTTATAAATAAAGAAACCGAGACTTAGAAAGGCCAGGTGAGCTATCTTCAATGCCCTTGCCCTTGTTCAAGAACCCTCTGAACTAAAGGTCCAGGGTAAGGCAGGGGTGCAAGGAGATGCTGGGAGGCAGTGAGCTCAGTGTGGAGCGTTAGCACTGAGAGCCCAGCGCTACCTCACCTGAGTTCGTAGCCCCAGGGAGTTGCTTAGCCCTTGATTGCCTTGTCTATAGAAGCGGGGTGGAGAGGTATGATACCCACGTCACGGCTTTGTCGTGAGGCTTACATGAGATTTCTGTAAAGCTCTCAGCCCCAAGCTTGGCGCACAGTAAGCCCTGAGGCAATGGGAGCTCCCGTTGTCATTATATTAATACTGTCGCAGATGCCCCCAAGCCTGGCCATCCCTGTGTGCTCTTTTCTGAAATTCTTAAACATTAGGACTTTCATCAGGGTTCCCATGGGATAGAGAAGTGGGCAGAAGTGGAGGTCTGGGCTGGTAAGGAGGACTGGTGGGGGCCAGGGCAGGACGGGGCAGGGAGACCATGAAGAAGGGAGACGCTCACTCAATGTATTAGATGATGCTGAACTCTGCACTACATTATCAATAACAGGGAAAATGAGAAACGGGCGCTGGATTTGGTTAACTTGAATTATTGCAACAGCCTCCTTGCTGATCTCCCTGTCTCACTCCACCTTCTAAGCCATTGTGCACACTGCAGCCAGAATAATCCTCTTAAACAGCACTTTCATTACGATGCGCCCCTTCTCAGGCACCTTCGCACAATTGTCTACACTAGATAAAGGGCAAACTCCTTTGCTTGGTGTGTGTGCGTGTGTGCTGTGTGTGTGTGTGTACATGATGTGTGTGCATGTCTGTAGGGAGTTATGACCACAGAGCTCTTTTAATTTTCTTAAGTTTTACTGATACAGCGCTCACATTATTTCACTTAAACTACTGTAAGAGGTATGCACATTCCTTACACTGCATATGAGTAAAAGCTATGATTCATAAGTTTTAGGTATGATTTAAAATTAGCATAGCTATTTTTATTACCCCTCAAATTATTTTTCCTAATAAATAACAATGAAAAAATTCTACATGGCCTTTGCACATAACCCATCCAGCGTAACCGCGCTGAGCCTTAGAGTAGGCTTGGTTTTAGGGTCATGTTCTGGTTCCCACTTAGGCCAGCCAATCTTGGCATCAACACTGGGTCCCATGTCCTTGTGCTTCACTGTGGTGTTCCAGCACCTCAGGGAAGCCTGACTGATATTCGTGCAAGGATGGCTCCCCCAGGCCCTCTCTGAGGCCAAGGGGTGTCTGCGTATGTTCCACTCAATGCCCATCCCCTTCTCTTACTGTGGTTGTCCCCACTCAAAAGACCTCCTCCTTTCCTCTCTTTAAACCTTACACATCCAGGAAGCCCCAACATAATAAAAATGACAAATACCTTTTGTTAAATACTTAGCAGGTTTCAGATTCTATCTAATGCCATGGACACTATTATTGTTTTCCCTTTACAGATTAGGAAACTGAGGCACAAAGAGGTTAAGCAATGTAGTCCCTCCAACCGTGAGCCTCTCCATCCCTCATGGAGCCCTCTCCAGCACACACTATTCATCCTTTCTCGAATTTCCTGTCTTGTACTGAACTTTTAAATATTCATTGTTACGAAATTCTTTTCTGTGTATTTTTTCTCTCCAATTAGAATTTAAATTCTTTAAGGACCTGGAGGATTTCTTCTTCTGTGAGAAGTCTCAGGGACAAAAAAAAGAGAATTAGACATAGACAGAAAGGGTTTAATAACCTTACTCTGAGGATGTGTCACTCTGGAAGGTATGACCTTGAGTTTGTGGTTGGCCTGTCCTCAAGAGCATGTGGATGAGTCACCAATAGCGAGAGTGGCTTCCCTTCCTCTTGTGGTATTACCTCCTTTGGCTCCCAGATCCACAGATAGACACCACAATTTTCCCTGTCAATATCCCTTGACACGGAAGGGGATGGTCCCCCATTATGCTGCCTCTGAGCAAATGTAGGCCAAAGGCCACCCTTCAAAGGTCCCAGAGAATCCTGATGTTTTAGGCCAAGCCTCAGCCCTGCAGTGTGTCTCTTGTCCATGAGAATAATAGCCTCATGCAGGGAAGCGCTTTTAACTTCTTCAAAGGCCTTTCATGTCAGCGATCTCATTTCATCTGTGCGATGTCCCTGTGAGGTAGGTATTATTATTATTACCCATTTGAAGCTAAGGGAAGAGAGGCCCAGAGATTCAATTTCTTGTCCATAATTTCCTGAGGAAATCATAGCTGAACCAGTACCCCAATCCAGCCTTTACCTTGAACCTCATTGCCTGCTGCCCAGCCGTGTCTCTCCTCTCATTAATTTTCTGGTCCAAGCTACAGCACAGTCAACTAGCTAGTTCTTTTCATTTGCTTCCTGAGCATGAAGGGGAAAATGAAACTCTAACCCCTTTAAGGTTTTATCAGAAAGCCTTGCTAATCCATCCGCAGTCTGTTAGATAACAGCTTAAATCTCCACTGCAAAGGATTACCTTCCCATCTGATCGGGCACAACACATTAGAGGAGGCGTAGGGTGGGTACGGGCATGTGGAGGCCACGGTGCTTTCTCTGCAAAAATGGAGATGCTCAGATTTCCACACATGCTGTCCTCCTTCAGATGGGCAGGGAGCCCAGCGTCTGCATGTACACCAAGTGGCTCCTCGGCCAAGGTTACGTAAATGACACCATGTGCCTCAAAAGCTCCTCGTTCATTCATTCAATAAATCGTTACCAAGCACCCACTGTGTGCCAAGCACCGTGCTGGATAGTACAAAAGGACTTTGGATAAAATGAGTCCTATTTTTGCATCCACTTCTGTTATAATTATAGCAGGGCATTATCAAGGTGAAAACAAATCAGACACAAGCAAAAACGCCCCTTGGTGCTGTCAGGGTCATAACCCCTGATCCCTGTACACCTCACGTCAGGTATTGCAAAAACATCCACTGAGGGTACAGGGAAGGGGCCTGGCTGGCCTGGAAGGTTCTCCAAACCCCAGCCCTTGGACTTCACTCCAAAGCCCTGGCATGGCAGGGTCAGGCAAAGGGAAGCTTGGAGTCTTCAGACTCTGTCAGTCTGCTGTCAGTATTACAGCTGTTTATAAATGAAGGGATCTTGGCTGATGAAACAATTCTCTCCTATGTGGTCCTTATTTCTCTTAGCTTGGGCTGTGACTTTTTCTCCCAAGGGCAGGTTGGAAATACATCAAGAGAAAGTTGGTCTGCCCTGTGTACCCAGTCAGGAGGAGGGGTGACCCCCTCTGAGCACCAGTGAACAACCTCTGACAACTAGAGCTGGGTGGACCTGGCCTCATCTTTCCTTAAATATTTGCTTGGGGCACCCTCCTCCATTAAAGTAGGATCAGTTTGCGGTCCCTAGTTCTGGTTGGACCATGCCTCCTAGGAGCTGGATCATTAAAAGAGCAACAAAGAAATGCATGCTTTTGGTTTGTCTCTCAGAACGAGTGGAATCATACAAAATTCAGGTCAGGAATTGAAG